GTGTGGCCGTGTTTATGTTTCAGAAATCTACGTAAACTCATAGTTTCCTATTCTTCTTGATTACTGGGATTATGTTTGATAGCCACTGAGCATACCTGTAGGGCCGTATGAATCTGGCTCGTAAGAGGTGTTTGATCTCCTCTTTTACTCGTAGCTCTACCTTTATTGACATTCTTTGAGTGGGCTGTTGGTGCAGTCTATAGTTTGGCTTTATAGGAAGCCTATGCTCGACCAGTTGCCTAGCCAGCCCTGAAGCAGTCCTTGAACTCTAATATTGTTAGCTTAATGGCATCCTTCTATTTTTTATCTAGTTGTGAGCTAAGGAATGTGATCCTCAGCTCTTCTGGAGATTCGAGGTTTACTTCTTCTAGTAGATCATAGACCTCTGGGGCTATGTCTTCGAATTTCAGAGGTGCAGGGTCTAGCTCGTGTAGTTGTGCTACCTTCTGGGTCTCCTCTTCATATATAACTTCGGTCTCGTAGACCTCGGGTCGTAATCTTCTAGTTTCTCTTGTAGATTGTGCAACCATAACTTTTGGATGGTTGCGGCTGCTATGGCCTTTCCTTTGTTTGCTTTAGTCATCGACTAGTTCTATGATGGGCTCGCGCCTCTGTGAGGTTAGAGGCACTATAGCATCTAGCATTGTTCTGCATGAAAGGATTCCTTGAGCCTTTCAGAATGTGAATGAGCCTACATCAGTGTTGTAATACCTCACATCTATGAAGTTAGTAGCTGCTGTGAATGGCTTTTCTTCAGGCTAGACCACTTCTAGCTCCTCTCCTTTTCACATAAGGAGCATCTGGTGCAGTGAAGAGGGTACACATTCATTGGCATGAATCCAATCCCATCCTAGGAGAGTCTAGTATTGAGCTGTGGTGTTGATCACAAAAAAGGCCATTAGTGATGACTTGGTCCCGACATCAACCTGTAACGGTAGTACGCCGAGGACCTTAGATGCAATCCCAGTGAACCCTACTACTGATACCCCAGTCGGCATTAAGTCATGCTCTTCTCATCCTATCTTGATCATCATGCAGGCTGGTAGAATGTTCACCGCTGAACCATTGTCAACGAGGACCCTAGTCATCGGTCTCCCATCGAAATGTGCCCTAATGTATAAGGGCTTTAGGTGCTGAGTCATCTTTGTGCTAGGTTTCTCTAGGACAGCCAGCTTTGGTTTTCCTTTTATTGCTTGTAAAGTAACTTAGCAGACAGGCTCTGCAATCGTTTCTTTCATGCCTGTATGCTTATAGGCTTGTACTCCTCCTCTTCTATTAGCTTTATTGGGCAATACTGATACAGACCCATATGTGTTGGCCCCAAGGAGTTCTTCTCCTGCTGGTCTTGGGTATTGCTAATGGTGGATCAGAATTGAGAGGATAGTGTTAACGAGACCATGCAGCAGAGATTGAGGGGTATTTCTCCAACGTGAATGGTCCCTTTTTTTGATTTTTGGCCTCGCTTTCTTCGTCTTGATCCTTAGTGGACTTTCTTCTGAACTTGCTAGCTTCTTGTTGAATGTCAAGGCTATCCTATACCTTAGTTTTTTGCTATTCAAGGTACCTCTGTGTGGCCCGTTTTTGCTAAAGACGTCACTTCTGGGTTCTTGTTAGGGAAACTGGGAAGTTTTTGTGCCTCACAACTCTCCATTTCAGAAACGGCACGTTACCAGGCAGCATAACAAACTTACCTGAGCCCTGAGTGACTTTTGATTTTAAAGGAAGCTCTGTGCTATTTTCTGATAGCATTGACGGTGATAACGGTAGGCGGTCGAGGCCTACATCCCAACCTATTGGTGTCCCCATAAATGGTTAGCCTAATCCAAAGGGTGCTGAGTACTTTACAAAGAAGTCGAATTGGCTAGATGGTTCTCTTAAACGGTTCTAGACCAACTTAGATCCATCTGGTTCTATCATCACTAATCCTCCTAGGCCAACATCCTATCCTGAAGGTCGTTTGCCATTTTTCTTCTTTTTTTGCTGATTGTCTCCGTTCTGAGTTTCCCTCAAACAATCCCAAACTACTTTGGAGCCACCCAAGCCTTTCATGTCCTGCCCCTTCGGGCCTATATCCCATTTGGAAGACCTATTCTTACTGGACCAGCCCATAGGCTTTCCTAGGCAGTCCTATACTATCTTAAAGTCTCTTTGAGTTACTTCACCCCTGTTTTAGACGTTCCAAGGTCTCCCATCCTTCTGCTTACCATCACTTTTCTTGAGTCATCGTTTACCAGAGGCTATCTTCATCATGTTGATCGTAGAAAATGGGGGAAACGAGTCCTCGTCTACCACCATGGATTCTTCCTTAAGAAATTTCAGAACTCCCTTATTGATCCGGTCCTGAATGAAGTTCTTGAATCCCCAGCGTGCCTTGGTATTGTTGCTCCACGAGTGATGATACTTACAGTATTCCTTCCCTATCTGTTTTTCCTTTAAGGGAATCTTATGATCTATGGGCAGGGAGATGAAGTTTTCCTTGAGGAGGAAATAAAATTTCCTTTGTTTTTGAAGTATCAAAGGTGTACTGGACTACTTGGTCTTTTAGGTAGTCTCCGGCCTCCTAGCCAGAGTTGAGCATGTGTAGTTATAGCATTCTTTAGTTCTACCACCGCTATGTCCGGTCCCCAAAATAAGTCCAACTGTAGTCTGTCTGTGATGATCCTCTTCCTTGAGTAATTCCTCATAACCCCACACTTGGTTGCAAGTTCATAGAAATCTCAAAATTCCATCCCTTGAAATTTCTTTCGAAGCTCTATATCCAATCCTGCCTGTGCCAGGTTGACAAATTCAGTTTCTAAAAGCGACACGTGGCACCTATTCCTCAAAGTTTGAAATTCACTAAGTATTGGTTTGCTGTCTCTCCAGCTCGTTGTGTGAGCTTGTAGAGTTTCGCTATGCTGACTTCTGGCTTGCTTTATAGAATTGGATGTGGAACTTCTGTTCCTTTCCCTCCAGCTGATGATTGAGTTATGAGGACCGACGTATATCATGTGAATACAGGTCCGTGGGAGTATTTGGAACAACCTCAACTTTAAATTAGCGAAGTTCTCATAATTAGCAATTTCACCGCACTGGATTGTGAATCCCCCATGTGCTCTAGGGTTGATTGTGTACCGTCTCTCGAGAACAATTGTCCCTGTCTATATACTTTGGATAAGGTTTTAAGAAGGCGGGGCGGCCAATTGGCCTCAGCCCTGGTCTATATATATCTTGAATGGCATCTCTTAGAGCCTCCATGTTCGTCAGTTGGTTCTGAGGCTCGATTGCATGTTTTAGGATCACTGCCGTGCCCCCGGCTACTCGTGCCTGGATCATGTAGATAATACGAAGGTTAATTAACGGATGAGTGTGTGCAAATACTTGGTGGTTAAGGATGTCTCTTACAAGTGTGCGGCCCTGATGGCCAGCACCTATATTGACTCCAGCTTGCTGCCCCCCGAGTGGCCCTATGTTCGAGCCCGCTTCCTGATGGTGCCTTTCAATGATGTGGCTATACTCTTCATGCCTTCATGTATAACCTGCATCATGGTTTGTTGTCATTTTTTCTCCTTACGTTCTGATGTTTTCAGGGATATTGCAAAGAACCTTTGGTTTTTCTTCCACTACTTATCCATCTGGTCTTGAATTCCTCGCATTACTTCTGCCACAATCAGTCCTTTTAGATTTTCACGTTCGTGCCTTCTTTGTTACACAGGTCTCACCAGGTGTGCCACAAATTGTTCGTGGTTGAACAACAAATATTAGGAGTGCAAGAGACGTTGGGTCTCAATAGATAACGAAAGGGTCTCAATTCTCTTACTACAGTTCACTCGGATGTAAAAAGATAGTAGGCTTTGGTGGAACAAGTGTGAATTTTATTGGAGTGTTTGAAAATTAGACTAAAAAAAAACTAAAAAGGGCTAGTAAATGTAAATTATGTGAGTCTTGATCGAGTGTTGACTGGGTTCTCTGTTTTTTCCTTCTTTCTATTTATAGTGTCTGATAGAAAACTTTTTCTTTGAGACTTAGCACGTTTACTGAAGAATCAGGAATCCTGCAAAACTTATGGCACGATCTCTTCATTTTGATCAACAGCCTGTTTCACCAAACTATTTGGGCGTGTATTTCGGCATTACTTAGGATCGTGTCTCATGCTAACGGTCTGATATTTGAAGATATTTGAAGCTAATGGGATTTTGGCATGTTATATGTTATGGACTTTATGAGCTCCGGGGCTTACCTCTTTATTTATATTGGGCCTCATGTTTTAGTTATTCAGCCCAACTAGCCTTGTGATTTATTTGAACGACATTTCATATTTAGCTCAAATAATATATTTTTAATTGGGTGGATTAGATTAATGTTCCTGCCTTGCATAGATTAAAAATCTAGTTAATTAATTAAAAAAATCACATTACATCACATGATCAGCTTCCCACTAGTCCCCCAAATGTTTTAGTTATTCAGCCCAAACTAGCCTTGTGATTTATTTGAAACATTTCATATTTAGCTCAAATAATATATTTTTAATTGGGTGGATTAGATTAATGTTCCTGCCTTGCATAGATTAAAAATCTAGTTAATTAATTAAAAAAATCACATTACATCACATGATCAGCTTCCCACTAGTCCCCCAACAACAAATCAGAAAATTCAAAAAAGTGCGAGATTGAGAATGATATTTACTCGTTCTTTTTCGTGTGCGGTTCTTTCTAGTTTCTTTTTTTCTTTTTAGCTTCTAATTTTCTACCGGTGAAACTTCAAAGAAACAGGCATAACATACTATCATTGGTGGCTAGCATGGTGAGCGTCGTTGGTGTAGCATCTTCGAAAGAACTTGGAAGGTAAGTTCTGAATGATCGGTAGTGTCTCAAATCTCAATGAGAGACCCAGCAACGTTTTCACGCAGAAGTTTCCTCTCCCTCACATTGAATCAACAGCCCTTCAATTGCTTGCATGCGCTAGTTCTATCTAAGCAGGATAAAGGTAAGTTCTCTTTGTTTTTCATACTTCAACCCTTTTCTTCTCCAGCAAGAGATTCCCCCTTTCGCTATGATGCTCCGATTAGTGATCATGTGCTTGTCTGCTCCTTTATACGTTGCTTTTGCGTTGAGTTCAGATGGGTTAACTCTGTTGTCTCTTCTCAACCACTGGACTTCTGTGCCTGCTTCCTTAAAGTCAAGCTGGAAGTCCTCTGATTCCACCCCTTGCTCTTGGATAGGAGTACAATGCGACCATTACAGCAACGTGATCTTCCTAAACTTCACTGCATACAGGATTTTTGGTCATCTTGGACCAGAAATTGGACAGTTGCCTCACTTGCAGAACCTTGTTTTGGTGGCAAATGGCTTTCAAGGAAATATACCCTTAGAATTGGGCAATTGTAGTCTGCTGGAGTATATCGATCTTTCTGATAACTACTTCAGTGGACACATACCATATACCTTGAAAGCGTTGCAAATTGAAGTATTTAAGTTTTTCTTCTAATCTGCTCAGTGGTGAAATTCCTGAGTCATTGTTTCAAATTCCGGAACTGCACGGGATTGATCTTCACAATAATAGTCTAAGTGGTCCCATACCATCCAATATAGGGAACATGACTAAACTGTTGAAGATGCATCTATCTAGTAATCAGTTGTCAGGAACCATTCCCTCTTCCATAGGTAACTGCAGTAAACTAGAGGCATTATTTGTGAATGACAACATATTGACAGGAGTTTTTGCCTCAGAGTTTGAACAATATGAAGAATCTTGTTTATTTAGATGTCAAAAATAATAGCCTTGGTGGTACCATACCTCTTGGCTCTGGAAGTTGTGGCATGTTATTTATTCTGGATCTCTCATTCAATGTATTTAGTGGAGGCATTCCCTCAAGCTTGGGGAACTGCAGTAATTTAGCAGAATTTTCTGCCGTGAAGAGCAACTTAGTTGGAAGCATTCCATCATCCCTAGGATTATTACTAAAGATTTTAATTCTTCGCCTTCCTGAGAACCATTTGTCTGGAAATATACCTCCAGAAATTGGCAATTGCAGATCTTTGAAGAAGTTACATCTATATTCCAATCAACTGGGGGGAACAATTCCGAATGAATTGGGTGGATTGAGTAAATTGGAGGACCTTGAACTGTACTCCAACCATTTGACAGGTGAAATTCCACTTACAATTTGGAAGATTCAAAATCTTAAGCTGGTCATTCTTCATAATAATAGCCTTTCAGGGAAATTACCTTCAGAGGTGACAAAGCTCAAGCATCTTAAGAATATCTCTTTGTTTGACAACCAATTCTCTGGATCAATTCCTCAAAACTTGGGAATCAACAGCAGTTTAGTGAAGCTGGACTTGATGAATAATAAGTTCACTGGTAATATCCCACCAAATCTTTGTTTTGGAAAGCAATTACGTCTACTGAATTTAGGTCTTAACCAACTTCAAGGAGGCATACCTCATGATCTGGGAAGATGTGCAACTCTTGGGAGGTTGGTTCTCAATGAAAATAATCTTTCTGGGTCTATTCCTGAATTTGAAGGTAATCTGAATCTCATATACATGGACCTCAGCATGAACAACATCAGCGGAGCAATTCCATCAAGTTTGGGAAACTGCACAAATCTCACTGCTTTAATTTTATTCATGAATAACATTACAGGGCTAATACCGTCAGAGCTTGGAAATCTTGTAAACCTTCAGGCTTTGAATATTTCTTACAACAGCCTGGAAGGTCCTTTGCCACATCAGTTGTCATATTGTACCAAAATGGAGACATTTGATGTTGGATTCAATTTTCTCAACGGTTCATTTCCTTTAAGCATGAGGAGCTGGACAGGTTTAACCAGATTAATTTTAAAAGAAAATCGTTTTAGCGGGGTTATCCCATCTTTCTTGTCAGAGTATGATCGGCTTCTTGAGCTACAACTTGGTGGTAATATGTTGGAAGGAAAAATTCCTTCATCAATTGGATCATTGCATAATCTCTTTTACGGGTTGAATTTGAGGGCTAATAAGTTGACAGGTGAGATACCGCTAGAAATTGGGAAGTTGCAAAAGCTGCTAAGTCTGGATATATCCCTAAACAATTTGACAGGAAGCATACATGTTCTTGGTGAACTTTCTTCATTAACAGAAGTGAACATATCATACAACTTATTTGTTGGTCCTGTACCAGAATGGAAGATGCAAAAACTGAATTTATCTCCATTGTCATTCTTGGGCAATCCTAGCCTCTGTGTCCTTTGTTCAACTTCAGATGTCTTGAGTTGCAAAAGAACTAGCTTTTTAAAGCCATGTGACTCTGAATCAACTGACCACAAAAGAAGTAATCAATTAATTTTATTTATAGCTATTGGATTTGTAGTGTTCGTCATTTGCTTGTCGGGAATGCTATTAATTCATGGCCGGTGTTATTCTGGTCAAATATCTGAGGAGGAAGTTGCTAATTATCATGCTGAGCAATCTTACATTCGTGAGTTTCGTCGAAGATCTCTTCTGGAGGTGAATGCTGATTATGAAGAGCGAGAAGATCCGTGTTCAGATGATGAAGGAGATTTCAGAATTATTGATCTAACAAATGCTACTGAAGGAGATTTAGAATTGTTGATCTGATAAATGCTACAGAGAATCTGCATGATCGATATATAATTGGCCAAGGAGGGCATGGAATTGTCTATAAAGCTGAACTTGATTTTGGAGTTTTTGCTATTAAGAAGGTTAAATTTGGACGGAGCAATAGGAGGAAATTAAACATGATCAAGGAAATTGAAATGACTAGGAAGATTAGGCATCAAAATGTGGCGAGATGCCTAGGCTTCTGGATTGGTGAGGAATATGGTCTAACCATCAGCAAGTACGAGGAAAATGGTAGCCTTCATGATGTTTTGCATTCTCAACCATGCTTAGCATGGAATGTCCGCTATAAGATTGCTATTGGAGTTGCAAAAGGATTGGCACATCTCCATCATAATTGTGATCCTCCTATATTGCATCGAGACATCAAACCAAAGAATATACTCCTTGATTCTGATATGCAACCTTGTATTATTGATTTTGGTATTTCCATTGCTTTGAACGAGTCCTCTGCTATGGTACATCTGCGGTCAACATATCATCTAGGTACACCTGGTTTTATGGCACCAGGTAACTGCTATTGTTTTTTCAGTTCGTTGATTAATTTTCTATGTCTGACATGCTTAATAAAATTGGAATCAATTTCAGCCTATAATAACATCTACACGGATGATGAATTAGCAATGAAGGCAAGTGCGTAGATGGAAGAGGAGTAGTGATTCTTGTCTAAATTGAGCAATTACTAGTTCCTTAATTCCATAAAACTAATGTGCATAAGCTAGAAGTAATTTTTTTTCTTGCAATTTAAGTTGATAACATTTTCTTGACAGAGATTGCATATGCAATACAGCCGAGCAGTGAGCTTGATATATATAGTTATGGGGTAGTTTTGCTTGAGCTGATAACCGGAAAGAAAGTATTAGATTCATCATTTTCGGAGGAGGAAACCACTTTAGTTGGGTGGTTTAAATCTGTATGTTGGAAAACAAGAGAACTTGAAGAGATTGTTGATTCAAGCATTGCAGCGGAGCTTTCAGATTCAAATGTAATGGTGCAAGTTATCAAAATGCTTTTGGTGGCTTTAATGTGTACCCAAAAAGATCCAAGAAAGAGACTGAAAATGATAGATGTTGTTGAATTCTTTGAAACACCCACTGATCCAGGTAAGATTTGTGTGATTGACAATGACAAGTGTTGTTATCATCCATGAAGTCATACTTGGAATAAATGACATTTGTAAATTTGAATCTCTTGGCTTCTTAATTGCGTACCTTCTTTCTTCTACATCTTCCTTTCAGTCTCTCCACCTCTTTTGCTATATGATTGCTACGAGTTTATATCAGGTATTTATGAAGTATTGTTTAATTGACATCACATATCACCCAAATGCTTAATTTCATTTCATGGCACAACTTGGCAGGAATAAGGGAATCATGAAAACAACCATGCTTCGTTTCTGCTATCATTAGTCATGACATCTAATGTGGAATCAGGAATCATGAATCATGATGATTCAGAGTTGTTGGAAGGGCTATGAGACTTATGTGTTGTCTGATTTGTACAGGCATTATTGTTCGACCTCCCACAGCTCAATTTCATTTGGGGATTTTCCTCGCAGCTGCTGTGGCCTCTAATCTTTTTCAGGTAATTTGGTTTAGCTGACAAGACTACATTGAAATAGTTGCTTTGATTGTTTCATATTTTCTCTTGTTTACTATGTCTATTTATTGTACATGTGCTAATTAACATATAACAAAGTATTCAATATCCTGATTTCACTGCTTGTAGATGAATTTAAAATTCCAGTAAGTAATAAATAGGGTTTTAATGTGGAAGGATTATGTAGAAAATAATTCTACAAAACCAGCTTTTCTGATAGCTTATGGGCCTTGCAAGATTCAAATGAATCGGGTGAGCATGAAAAGTGTGAGATCATTGTGATACCTACTCTGGCTGTCATCCTGTTTTTCCACAGAATTTTCTCTAAATAATATGTTCACTCTCTCTCTCTCTCTCTATATATATATATATATATATAAAGTAGTCAGCACCCAGATTGAGGCAAGTGAGCTTTTTTTTTTTTTTTTTTTCCTTTGGGCTGAAATGTATATGTATGTACGTGCATGTGAGCATGACGTTTGTGTGGGCTGTTTGAAACCACTTTTTGAGTGTTTTTACTTCCTTTACTCGTTCATGTTCTTCATTAAGAATCCTTTAATTTTGAACTCATATCATTCTTGCCTTATATAAAAGATTTCTATTTTATGCTTTCTAAGGAGGAAGTCAAGATCGCCAACAGAGATTCTTTGTCAATTCCTTACGAGATGGAGCCTGCTGCAAATCTAGATTCTCTGAATATGATCCCCAGAAGAACTCGTGGGGTTGTTTCTAAAGTACAACTACATTCAGGCCGAGTTTGTGCTGAAAGGAAGGTGACATTTACTGGGAACAAAGGCATTATGTTAAGCGTGGTTAGAGAAATTGAAATGCTTGAAAATATTAGGCACCGAAATATGGTCAGAATGCTAGAGTATACGCTCAGAGAAGATTATGGTATAATCTGGTATGAGTACATGCCAGGAGGAAACCTTCATGATGTCTTGCTTGAAAAGGATCCACCGCCATCCCTGAAATGGAATGTCCGTTTTACTATAGCAACTGGAATTGCTCATGGATTGGCCTATCTCCATCATGATTGTTATCCTGCCATTGTACATGGTTCCATCAGACCAAGGAATATATTTCTAGACTCTGATATGGAGCCTCATATTGCGGATTTTGGTATTGCCCAGTTTTTCGATCAATCTTCTTCAACACCATCTTCATCTGTTCCAGGCACACCAAGGTATATTACCCCAGGTACATATTCTACTCATTGTCAATTTTCTCTTTCTTCACAACTCCCCCTATTTCTATTTGTAAGACTCCATCCATTAATTCTTAATACAAGACTCTTTACAAAATTTAATAGAACATTAATGACTCATTTATACAATGCCCTTGTTTTTTTCATTCTTAGCTTAAATAATGATATTTCCACTCCCCTCTCCCCGCAATGCATTATGCCAATCAAAATGTTAAAGTTGAAAGAAATTTTGAAATTTAATTAATTCCTTAATTTCATGAAAGTAGTTAAGAGGGCCTTATAAAAAGAATTGGAGGGAGTATTTTCATATGCTTATAAAAAAAAACATGTTCTCGTTGGCCCGTGACAAAAATACATATACAACAGAAAATACTAGGGAGTCTGATGTCTACAATTATGGGATAGTTTTGCTTCAATTGATAACCCGGAAGAAGGTGGTAGATCCATCATTTATGGAGGGAATTGAGATAGGGAGCTGGGTGAGAACTGTGTGGGGGGAAACAGGAGACATTATTAAAATTGTTGACGAGAGCCTTGCAGAGGAGGGGGTTTTGGATCCACTTGTACTTATTCGAGCTACTGATGTGCTTTTGGTGGCTCTGAGATGCACTGAGAAGGATCCATACATGAGACCCACAATGAGGGACGTTATTGGGCAACTAGAACATGCTATCTATGTCAAGGACCTGCCAACGGAGGTTATATGTCATTTCCTTTCGAGGTAATTGATAAATTACAAGTTTATATATTTTTTATCTTTTTAATTTAAACTTTTAAATGTTTTTTTAGGCTAATTGAGTTTAATTGAATATTATTTAATTTTATTAGCCAATATTTAACTTTGGGATTCTAACTATCTAAATCTTGGATTTTTAAAATATAAATAATATTTTTGCATATTTACTATTTCATTTTATTTACTTGTGCAGATTCTGTGGATCTAATTTGGAAGATACTGATAGAGATTATTTTGGATAAAAGAATGTAAACATGTTTGAAGATCAAGTCAAAGATCAAATATTAGAAACCTTATTTATATTTATTTTGAGTCTTTTAATATAGTTTTTATTTAGGGTTATTGAGAATAGTTTTGTCATTGTTATTAAATTATTAGGTTTATTTAACATATGGATGCACATCAGCACATGGTGACGGCACGCAAAAATCACATTGAATTGAATAAAAGGAGGAACAAACAGCAGGCGGCAGAAGTTATCGGAGAGTAGTAGAGACGTTGCTAGCTTTTGTCTTTTCTTTTCTTCATTCATTTTAGGACCTGTTTGGTTGGAAGAGAAGGGAGGAGATGGGAGGACAAATTTTAAAAAACCTCCTCTCCCTTCACCTTACCAAACAAGGGGAGGGGAGCCTCCTCTCTCCTTGTGTCATCCAAGCAACACCTCCCCTCCTCTTGTTTGGTAAGGTGGAGGGGAGGGGAGGTTTTTTTAAAATTTTCCCTCCCTTCGCCTCCCCCTTCCTCCCCTTCCCTTCCTTCCTCTCCCCTTGAACCAAACAAAGCTTTATTGATGGTTGCTCTCATTTTTACTTATTTCTGTTTGATTTTTAAAATTTTGAAGAACGTATTTTTTTGGTGTGATTAGTCACAAATATAACCTTTAATAGAGTCTTTGATATTTAGAAGATTTTATTTTATTTTATTTTAATTTATTTTTTTTCTATCTCTAAATTTTATTTTTTTAATTGATATTGCTTATTAGTGTAGCTTTACCGTATAATTTTTGGGTTATATATTTTATCTAAGATCTTACTTGCTGTAATCAATTAATATAGCATCACAAGAATAATTTGACCTGACTTAGGTGATTATTTATGTTTTGTTTTTGGTGTAGTTAATATAGAATTAGTTGTTAAGTTGTGTTTTAATGGAGATTTTAATTAGTCCATAACTTAATTTCTTATTTAATCCTTGAAGGATAATTTCCAATTAACTCCTTGAATGATAATTTAGAGAAAACATATAATAAAACTAGAATAATAAAGTTAAATAAATTTAATTTTGTGGATGAGAAAGATTAAATAATTGAATTGTGATTGATTGCGTTACTTATATTTGGTGATTTTCTTAATTGAACTTGCTTTAATTATTTAATTTTAATTTACTTTTTAAATTATTTTTTTAAATGTCCCCCAATTATTTAGTTTTTTATAATCCTAATTTAAGTAATTAATCTATTGACTCTTAGATAAACGATCTAGATTGTGGTTTACTGTAAAATTTAATTTTATTAATTTTGATGCCATTATTGAGAAGCCAATTGTGTTAACTAGTTGAATTAAGAAAATTAGTGTTTGCTTTGCTTTTAATTTTAATTTTCCCCTTAGTTAGTGCTTTAATTTAGTCATTTTGATTACCAATATCATTTCTGTGGTTGCTGGAATTTTTTTCCTCACTTGCCCATATTTTGCTAAAATTTGATATCTTTATATTTTGGGTAGCGTTAAGTGAAATTCTCAACTTTAGCTATTAAGTAACCCTTAATTTGGCCAAATTCCATCATTGTCATCACTTTTCATATTTTCAATTATTTTTTTTAACTTTTGGTCATTTTCAATTGTTTTTTCCAGATTTAATCTTTTAATTTTTTCCTTGCTTGTTTTAGGTAGTTTCTTTTATTTTTATTTTTTATTTTAGTGAGGACAAGGTCCACTTGAAAATAAAATTACATTTTGATCATATACTTGAGAGGACTTTGTGCTTCCTTTTTTTTTTTTTTAAGTTTAAATGATTCTATTTTGGCTATGAAGATGGCTTGAAATGCTTATTACCTTGATACTGATTTTTGTCTCTTCATGCTTTATTATGATGCTCATACTTTTGATAGAAAAATTGATGAGTTTTCCTCTAGTGTTAGACAATTGCTTGTTGAATAGGTACTAATACAACCACTTGAATTGGCCCTTTACCATCCTCACTATTACTCCTTTTGGAATTTCCCAACATATGATGAGCAATGGTCATACTACTATTCACACCATCACTTCCATTCCTATCCTTATGAGAGTACTCTAACTTTTGTCCGATAATACCCCCATGTGCAAGCTAACAATTGGCTTGAAATTGCACAACCTCTACAACTGGTAAGCCAACACATTCCAACACTTAAGAAGTCTAGCAAGGGGAGTAATTTGGAAGTTATGATGAAGCAGATATTGGAGAGTAACATGTAGTTTTAGCATCTTTAATGAAGCAGTCAACAGTTTCAATATAAATATCTTGAGACTCAAAAAATAGTAGATTAACTGTGTTCCCCAATAAAACAAGTTCAGGAGGACTCTTCATTTGATGATGATGTAGATGAGGACATTGTTATTGAATTTCTTGACAGTGTTGAGTCTAAAATCACTAAACCATGTTTTAGTTGTACTGATGAATTATGCGCATGCAAGAGTGGCATTAGGATTGATATATCCCCTCCTAATTCTATTGACTCTTCTTGGTCTAAAGAATTTATTAAATATGTTAATAATCTTACAATACCCGATATTGTTATTTCTGATGGCATGATATGTTTTACATTTGATGATGCTTTTGATAACATTGATTTAAAGTACCTTAAGACAAGAGTCCAAGAATGTTGTGCCATGCATTGATTGGGTTAATACTGATGAATATTTGTATTATTCTTCTTTTAACTTATTTGCTTGTAATATTAAGCCTTTAACTATTAGTAAAATTGAATTTTTTGATTATTGGGGAGATGATAAGATCGAGGAATTACCTATAATTGGGAACAATTGTGAGATTAAAGTGAATATAGGTGGTAAGAGTTCTCAAGAGAATGTTATGCTTAAAGAGAATGTGTTATTTTGCATCAATGATGGCCTTAGTAAGGAAACTTAATATGATTATCTTTCATTTATGAATGAGCAATGTGATGAGACTTGGGATGATTTGATTGCTAAGTTACCTAATGTCGTCAATTATGAAAATGTTATGCATTTTACATCTGATGGCTTATATAAATGTGTTGCTTGTGTTGAAATAGTTGAATTTCTAAACTCTGATGATTCTTTGGATCCTTTTGTTTACATCAACACTGTTGAGTGTAATGATCCACTTGACTCTATTGATTTTACTAAGGCTATTAGTCCATCTGTTTATGTTGACCCTTCTGATTATGATGATACTTATGAGATCATGTGTAAGGTCTCTCTTATTAATCCACGTTTAACTCTAAATCATGGCAATTAGGAGATTAACCCACAAAAGATTACTAAATTGTAAAATTTCACAAAAGGGAATTTCTCAAATCATTTATGAAATAAATCCCAATTTCAATATTTCAAATCTCAAACATTATCTAACATACTCAAATTAGAGTTTCAAAAGTAATGTGGAAGCTTGAAAATCAATTGGGACTCAAAAATGAGTTTTAAAACTCAAAAATAGATTTTATGCATAAAATGAGACATGTGCCGTGGCTCACGACATGTGTACCACAGCTCATCTTCTTTGTGCCATGCGCTGCAATGTGAGGTGCCATGTGCCACGACGCATTGCGCGAATTTAACAGCACATGAAGCAAATTTTTGATGTGTCCCAATTCTTCATTTGACATTCGATTGATGTAGTTTTGGTGTTTTCACGGAGCTTTCTTCTAGCTTTTGTTAATGGCATAGGTTTCACATTCAAACTTATTTTCTATAAATAGTTGGAGACTAAAACCTATTTTGACCACTTTTTTTACAAAATTTCACAAATGGGGTGCCTCAACTCAACCACATGTACCAATAGTCTACACCAACCATCAGATCATACCTAATAGACTCATGCAGATCTGTGTAATATACCACACACAATCAAAACTCTTATATCACAAAGTCACCACTCAATCCCAATTTTCACATAACATAAAAGGGAAGGAAATGTTGTACAAATTCGTTAATTTCATTCCAATGCTTTCAAAGTACAAATATTTGTACTTGCATAAGTATTTTGGTCCTATCTACAAGTTTATAACTAAAAATCACTAACCTAGGGCACAAAATACATAAGTTATACACAAAATCATGCAAGTAGTGCATAAATCATGTCAAATGATCAAATAATCCTAGTTAGCAATTACATTAACAAATATATATGAAAACAACAAAAAGAGGCATAAAGAGTATTACTCCACAATCCTAAGCCTCTGTTTGTTTTCCTTAATTCAGATCTGATGAGCTATATCTTGAAAATTTTGAGAATTGAGGGGTGAGTACAATCACTCAGTAACCAAGTTTCACCTAACCTATACAGTTGCATATCAATTATAAATAGATGCAATTAGGCAAATAAATAGATATCTCATATAAACACTTGGCCATGGTTCACAAAACTAACAACCATGTGATCGGCCCACAACACATAATATCATGATATTTCACAAAGCACAACACAGGTTCCCAATAATAACAACCATGTGCCCTTAACATGTGCCGAACTATAAGACTAACAATCATGTGATCGGTCTTATATGCATGATCATATGCTACTTTTATACCCTTCTGTTACCTCCAACACGAAACCAGTAGCTATCACGCGGCTAAGTCCTTCATGAACTAACCCAGCCCACCACTTGGGAGGAGCTACCAGGTCAGGGTAAACTCACTCACTTATATAATCCAATTTTCCCTAATATTAACAACTATGGGGTGTCGTACTCTTAATCTAGCCTCCTCATGAATTGGTAGAGACTAGTTAGGTTTAAATCCTTTGTAGAATAAGTGAGATAGTCCCAAATCAACCAGGGGATAATGGCTACCTCCTGATTCTAACGGTCGGTGCTGAGGTAAGTTCCCGATTCCAATGGCCATTGCCAGTACCATGTGGATTTAAACTAATCTACTCCTTTCCTTGGGCAAACTCCCGTCAATGATCATGCTATACACATTTCTCGCATGATATGCATTTCAAGAATTAATTCATGACACATAAACTCATATACTCAAATACTTCACGAACTCAACACATTTCTCATCACAATTTTCCACCCACAATAACAAACCAAAATCAAGTTCATAATTCACAAAGGGTGACAAAATCGAGGTTTTTCTTTCTAAACCATTTCACAAGTAAACACATTGCCAATATGCATCATAAATTTAAATCATAAATGACATTTCACAAATACAACTAATATTTAACTATAAAGATTAAGTTTCCCCTAGTTACCTCAAACTTTTGAGAGGTCAAAGGTTTATCCCTACAATGTCAACTTCCAAAGCTTCGACAAGCTTGAATGGTGCCAAATGATTCATA